CTCTCTCTCTCTCTCTCTCTCTCTCTCTCATTCATTCATTCATTGATTCATTCATTCAAGTAATGTTCACCAAACACCACCTGTGTGCCTGGCCCTGTGCTGGGTATGGGGACCACACAGGCCTACCAGGAGCTGCCTGGAGGTTGTGGCCCTGATACATTGGAGGATGTAAGGGGGAGGGGGGTCTAGCTTTCTCCAAAGGGTACTGGGGAGCCAGAGGAAGCTGTGGAGCAGGAAAGGGTCCTGGTTAGGTCAGGGGTGAGAAAACCAAGCTAGAGGAGGTTTTGCCTGGGTGAGCTGTTGATTTCAGTAAGAACCAGTATTGAGTGTAACAGTGACCATGGGCTGTGTAACTTCCCCCTAAAAGTTCTTACTGCCTTTGCCATGTCCAGCTCTGACAGCTCAGCCAGCTGCCCCCACTCTTACAGAGAGATGAAACTCCAGAAGGGAGGCACAGCCCAAGCAAAGGTCTGAGGGTGGGGCATAGGGTGTTTACAACATAGTGTATTCAACTTGATAGCTGCTAACATGGAGCGCCAACTGTATGCCAAGCACTGTACCCCACTAAGCCCATAGAGCAGCTCCATGCGAGAGGTGCTGACTGTGCCCACTTCCCAGAGGGGAAAACAGGCTGGGGAAGGAGCAGAGCCAGCTTTAGGCCCCATCTGTTGGTGGATGACCCTGGGAGAGCTCTGCCAGGCTCTGAGCCAATGTCTCCTGTCCAGCCAAGCAGGACTTCAGGACAAGCCACCACACACCCTCAGCCATGCGCTGGGGTCTAATCTGGGCACCTCTTGTATGCTGTGTTGAGCATGGGGGACATAACAGTGACCAGGACAGCTCACCTTTGTGGGGTCTAATCTGTGCACTAGGGTCTAATCTGGAGTCAAGGCTTGCCCTCTGGTCTTCAGTCTGGACTTGGATGTCTGAGGTGACGAGCTCACCCCATGCCCCATGGGGCCTTGCACCTGCTGTTTCCTCAGCCAGGTCCCTGGCTCCTCTTGTGCATGATCAGCTCCTTTTCTTGATATGAGGCTCAACTCAAGCCCACCTCCTTGAAGAGTCACCCAAGACCTCCCAGATAAAG